GAAATGTTTGACTTTTGGATTCATAAATAAATAAATGAAGGAGCTATGCTAGGTTTTGGTGTGTAAGTTGTGGGGAGACATAATGATTCAGAGAATTGGGGGTAAGCAGCCAAATGTATTCAGTAGCATATTACATGTCTGCATTTGCTGACATTGAAGATGCAACCATATAATTTCTGATTAGCATTGTTAAGTATTAAAAACTGCACGCAATTTAAATTGCTGAAGATACTGTATTAGCATTACCTTTTCTATTGTACAGTGATATTAGATGTATGTCTCTATAGATTCATACATTGGGACTTAATAATAGGCTTATCCCTATGCCTGAAAAATGTTTAGAGGACTGAGTGCTCTTATGTTTAATACTTCTTTTGTGATGGATGACATACTACCATTATGATACTGATTCTAAGTATGTTCAATAACTGGATATTACTATAGTATCAGCACTTAACTTTGGTATTTATAGTACTAGTCTATGGACTGTCTCTGGCTGATGTCTTTATGTCCCAATAACATCACAACACCCCCAGGAGAAGCTTACTACTAGGAGCACCCGTTATACTTTTTCCCATGTCAAAATCATGTAAAACTCTGTTGGTACCATTCTTCATCGATAACCCAGCTTCTTCCCCCCTCCAATCACTTTGTGTTTTCCGTTCTTTTGTACTGTTGCCTTCCTTTCTTTGTATCTTCTGCTTTTAGTCAGTGTATGGTTCTTAACAGTTAAGTTTTCTCTGCGCTGTTGACTTTTAATTCCTTTAAATACTGTTCATTGAAGGATTGATAGAGGACTTCATAGACTAAGTGAAATTGTATGGTTAAATGGCTTGCATTCTGATTTTAATAAACAGATCCTGGTAGTAATGCTGGGAGTTTACAATTAGATTTATGGAGGTTCTGCTTATATTGACTTTCATTTAAAATTTGAAGATGACTAGTATCCTACTGAAGACAGTATCGCTGTATGTGCCGAGGCTTTAATAATATTCTCTAATGCTTTTTGGGGATGACTTGAAATCATTGTTCATGTCCACAGGTAAGACATTCTTTGTCTTGCAGCCTTCCTTTTTTGCACCTTCTCTTTGGAGGAGAAATTGGAGAGAAGTCAGAAGTGACAGTATTACTTTAGTATCTGATAGTATTTAAAGTTGTAGTGTTTTCTGGGAGGTGGGGAGGATTTATATGTATGCCAAAACCCATCTGTGTTAGCCTGTGAAGGCAGCAGCTAAATCCTGTGCTGCATCCAGTGTATCTTGTGAAATTTTATTCTATTTGGACAATATGCTCTTCTGGGGGGAGAAGGAAGACGAACTTTATCTTTGACCTCATTTTCTGCGAGATTAAAATATAGGTCAATGGGACCATAAAGATGAGGCCAGAAATGCTAGTCCTGTATATCAAGACTAAAGCTGTCATAAGTAAACGCTTTGTAAGATTCTTTTTTAATATCGCCCTATTTCAGTATCTGATGGATAGGAAACAGTTTGGCATGTTGGCCACCTGATAGTAGATATTGCTGATAATCTGTACTTTTAGTAAGTTCAATAAATACTATTATTATAGAGATCTGCAGATATCTTATTTTCTAAATCTTTTAAACCCATATTGGTATACCTGTATAAAAGAGATTTAACAAAAATTGTATTCCTTAAACTACTAAGGAAATAGAGGAAGTTTTTCAAAGTATGTTCAGAATAGTAGTTCTTGATTACTTTGTTCTTTGCACTTGTAGAAAATACTCTGAGTGGGCTCTGTCTACTTTCAATGTTTTTACACTACAATGAACAACTAAGTTCCCAACAAATCTTGAAAGAATATCACTCAGTTATTTTTTTTGGTGAACATTGCTACTCTGAACTAAATTGCAATAATGTGGAAATACTGTGTATTTGAACTTTAATAACTTGCAAATTAATATTTGTCACTTGCTGTACAGATGGTTCTGACTCCAGAGATAAGCCAAAGCTCTATCGTCTACAACTAAGTGTCACTGAAGTTGGAACAGAAAAATTTGATGACAATTCCATTCAGGTATGGAAAAAAGGTAGACTCAGATGACAGAACTGATCTGCTCTCTAGTCAGTTATGTGTAATTGTGGAAACTAGTAAAATATTCTGTGAATACCTTTCAAAGCTAGAAGAGTAAAATATTGCTGCAATTTCATGTTAATGGTCATAACTGATTTATTTTATTTCCTCTCTCTTGCTTTAAGAGGAAAGTAAGGCTTTCATTATTTAAAACAGGGTATTCTTTTTTGTCACTGGATCAAATGGTACATATCAGTGTTATCGTAACTGCTTAATGGCTTTCAATTCCTAGTCTCAACCCCTTTGGGTGAGGCAGGATTTCTTAAATACATAAAAAAAACATAGTTGTATGAAGTTCGTGCCAGGGAGTCTCTTATAGCACCCTGGGTCCACGTCACTGCAGTTAGTTGACTTGTAAATACTTGCATTGTGAGATTTCACATCAAAACAGGAAGTAGAAGAAAACAGTTCTGAACAGCATATGACCAAAAAAGTGAAAAACTTTTCATTAATGGATTTCTGCTGCACATTTTAGTTAAATGCGTGTTTTATTATCTCTGTTGCAAGGAAAATTGAAGTGAAACTCAACTGATTTTAGTACCACTCCTCTGTATTAAATTCATAAGCAAGCAAAGTTAAGTTACTAGTCTGTAAATAGGGTAAGCTGCAGCTCAATCTTTTTGTTTTAATTTCTGCTGCTGTATAGTTTAGTTTATTCCATGTTAATTAATTCTATTTCCAGTTATTTGGTCCAGGAATTCAGCCTCATCATTGTGACCTCACTAATATGGATGGAGTTGTTACTGTAACCCCAAGAAGCATTGATGCCGAAACCTACGTGGAAGGTCAGCGTATTTCAGAAACCACTATGCTGCAAAGTGGAATGAAGGTTCAGTTTGGGACATCTCATGTGTTCAAGTTTGTGGATCCCACTCAGGACCATATTATTCCTAAAAGACCTATTGATGCAAGTCTTATGGTCAAAGGTCCGAGACACAAAACTGGGTGAGTAAAATTTATTTTCTTCCCACTGAGGTGAAGGGAGGAGCCTTGGAAAAAAATAGAGAATGAGAGCATTATAAATGGCCTGTGACTAGAGTATGACTTTAAATGAGTTCTGAGTAGCTGCTTTTAAGTGTTAAATATATAATAACTATTTTAATACTTGAGCTCCACCTTGTGATTTTTTTTAGGATTGGCAAGTGTCTTTTTCATTATGAAGTATTCAGACAAGTTTTCCTGATGCTTACATCTGTGTTAAAAGCAGTGGAATGCCTTATGTTAATGTATTTCAAAGTTCATCCAACCTCCAGGAAAAGTAAAGAATTCGCTGAATGTTTTCAGAGAGGCTGGTTTTTGCTTTTTCTCAGATAGTAACTTTTAAAATTCCACTAGAAGGATTTAGAAATTAAGTAGGGTAGTCAAGAAATGAAACTGTCAAGATAGGGAACTAAATGTCTCAATATAGCAACACTTTTTACAGTGTGATTACTTATCTTCTAGTTTCCGTGTTGCAAGGACTAACAGTCCAGAAGTCCGTCCTGTTGTTTCTCTGTATATTCATATTTTTGATAGCTGCATAATAAAAATACTGGTTATAGATTTAGTGACTTCTAGGGGTTCAGGTATTCTGTTTAGTGGCTATAGAAATATTCAGGAGAAACAATCTTAAAATCAGACTTGTATAGCATGGAAAAAAATAACATTACATCTTCCATCCTCTCCGGGTCCAAAAGAGGCTACTATTGTAGTATACTGTGGTTTAGAAAAGAAACAAATTGGCTTGGAGATGAATGAGAGAGATACCTAGGAAAAGAGGCTCTTCTGGCTAATCTGCTGAGTTAATAGAGATCTGTACTTTAACCATTATTTTTTCGGCACTTTATTTTACTGTGGAAGTACACTGTGTGCTTGTTGTAGGACCTGTCTGCAGGAAGACCTCCAGCCATTTAGCTGTCATGTAATATTTCTGCTTAAATCTTGAGTTCATTCTACATCTAGCCTGCAGATCAATAAACAAATGCTCTTGCAGGTTTACATAGTCAACCGCAAAGCACTGTACTACTGCAGAGCTTTATCTGGACAGCAAAATCTCTGGCAAAGGGTTATTGCCGCTTGAACAATCAAATATTTTTTTAAATCTTTAGAATAAGCAGATAATAAAATGCATTACTATGATTTAGAAATGATTTACATTATCAAGATTTTTGTACATTTAGTACTGAAGAGCTGAGCAAAAAACTGTATCAAGTCTACTACAGTGAATACAGTACCTTGAACGTATTTTTATGTGGTTTTATATTTATATTATGCTTATGTATATTTGTATTTTCTCACTTGACTGGGGGAAAAAATGTAACTAAGAATCTGTTTTTCCAAAGGAAATGATCTTTACAAATATTTGTAGTGTTTTTATGTAAAGAATTATTACAGTGTTTTAAAAAGTGAATATTAACTGGACTTATGGTATACCTCTTGAATATTGATTTACTGATTTTAGCTGCTCTGTTCCTTGTTTGTTACATGTTTAACAATGTAATTTCTAAAAAGTACTTGAAATGTTACTTGCCTTTAGAGCTGTTCAGGAAACCACATTTGATCTGGAGGGAGATGTTCACAGTGGAACAGCATTACCAGCAAGCAAGGTATTATATTATGGCTAAATTAGCAATAAATAATAAAAGATCATGTGTAAGATAGGTCAAAATTATAACATCAGTAGTATTTGGTAAAGTGCGGCCAGTTCATCATTCTCCCCAGCCATTTCCTGTTGTGGGTGGGCTTAGGTATCATGTGCAGCATTATTATTACTACTACTACTATTTGTTATTTTTCCACAAAATGGTTCTATTTAAGTTTGTATTAGCATTTGGCATGCATTCCATGCCAAGAATAGTAACTTTGTTTAGAAAGGGAAATTCCTCAAGCCTGGAATAGTTTCTCCCCAAACTGACCTATTGAAGGCAGAGTACATGCAGGTAGAGATTCATCTTAGAAATGATACATCGTTATCTCATGTAGGTAGCATATGACTATTGTCATCTGCAATAGGGTAAATAAAAGTTTTATATAAAATGTGAAAGGATGTTCAATTTTAATTTAACTAGGCTTTTAAAATTTAATGGATGTGACTTTTGACTTCAGTAGAGCTCACGTACACGCATTGACTAAACAAACTGTCTCTGCAGTCATAGTTATAAACATTTTATGAGGTGAAAATCTTTTCTTGCTTTCTTTCTGCACTGCCTTTCTGTTAATAAATTCTGTGCCAGAGTTGCATTTTCCAAGAGCAAACAAATAGAGTAAAATGACACAGTGGTTAATGCCTTTCTTGGTGCTATGATCACATGCCTCAGATGAAATGAGAGAATGAATTATTTCAGCAGTATGAAATGTAGTAGTCCTCCCAGAAATGCATTTCCTTTTATGTTTTATTACTACTATTACCAAATTGAAATACATGTAAAGGAATTTAGTGATATTGTTCTGGCAGTGTAGGTATTAATAATACTCTGATAGTCTTAAATTTTTTTTTTTTTTCTTGCCACAGACTTCTGATTCAGGTTTTCTCCTTTCTTTGTAGCTTTGTTTGTGAAAATGCTTTCTTTTATCTTGGATGCATTCTTTACCTCTGATAGGAATTTATTTAGTGATGTTTTGGAAGGAAAAAACCCCAACTTTGTAAACTATTAAAATGCCTCAAAATTGTTCAGAATTGGAGTTTCTGACATTATTGTATAGCATACCTCATTCTTTTCAGACTCATTAGAAAAATACTTTTAGTGGACCTAGGGAAGCTTGGGAAATTTTTTTTTCTTTTTTTGAGTTGTACTGTTTAAGAATGTGCATGACATCTTGTTAAATCACTGGTGAATCACTTGTTTTCTAACGGTTGCTCTTATGAGTTTGCTTTTCTAGTTGGAAAAGGGGTAACAATAACTTTCATTGAAGTTCTCTGAGACCTGGTGATGAAAAGTGATTCATGGATTGGCATGTCAGTACTGAAAAAACTATTTTGTTCAAACTCTTGTTTTGAGATGCACTTTTTGATAGGTTTTCTTGTGTCAAAGCAAATTATTTAGTCCTAGAAATTTCTTAGGAAATGTGGAAACACTTCATATTTTACTGATGTTTTGTTTTCAACTGTTTATACTGAAAAATAATTGCTACATATTTTGCTGCTTAAAGCAGCATGTTTTTCCCCTTCCTGATAGGGTTTGATGTAATTGGAAATCATAAATTAAAAGCTTCTTATTAAGGAGCTTGTGACACTGAAAGAAAACAAACGAAATTGTACATAAAAAATTGCATAGTTTGAATTGCCACTTCTTGTCTTGGAAGATTACGTACTGTCTAGCAGATCAGACTTGCCTTCAAAACAGGATAAATTATGGCATGGATCAATAATGTAAGCACTTGGAGCTATTGCAGAAGCCGGGTAGGGGAGCGTAGCCAGTTTTAAATCTGTTAATATGTTTAACTTTGTCTCTCAGCTAAAGTTTTCACTAACTATTCATTCTTACTTTGTATTGATAACTATGCAACTTTTAAATAAAGACGTTTGAGATTTTCATTATATGTTCTTGCTGTGCATTAACAAATAGCTGCCCCTAGCTGGCCATTGTCGTCTTTTGAATTCAAGTGTGCTCTTCAATGCTTCGTTGTGGTGAAAACACCTGCTGAGTTGCTGGATTCTGTGCTGTACTCTTCTGTTTTGCCATCTCTTTTCAAGCCTCAAATTGACACTTCATTTTAATAGTGCCAAGCACAAATACTGGCTAATCCAATGTTTGCATGCTAAGAACCTGTCCCGCTGTTTTGAATTAGAGCACCAGCAGGCTTGATGGTGACAGGACATCATCAGCATCCAGCAGAGCCGAACGAGGAATGGTGAAGCCGATGATTAGAATAGAACAGCAGCAAGATTACCGCAGACAGGAAAGCAGGTAGGAAATGTGTAATCCATTGCTTCTCATAATGGAAAAAACTGGGTACGTTTTTCTGATAGATCAAGCAGTGTGTTAAAATATTTTAAACTACCTGATTTTCCCTATGGAAAATGAGATTTCCTTTGAGATCTCACTCCAAATAAAACCCAGGATTAACAACCAAAGCAAAAAACTTAAGAATATTAAAAAAAAAAAAATTCCTTTGCTTCAATATTCTTTTATTTGTAGTTCTCTTTTTGTAAAGCCAAGCTGATAGTCACGTCACACCATTGTTTATTTGTGGTTAGGCATGTCATATGAAATGCTGTTAATAAAAAAAGTACAATTATTTGAAATTTTCATTGTCAGTGGCAAGATGATGTGATTTACTCTGGAGAGGGAAATAACCAGATCATTTCTATTTTTATGGTAGTGTTGTTGGCAAGTCTTGTGAGCAAGAATTTAGCTACCTCTGAATGCTTGTCTTGTTATGTAATTTATAAATACATATAACACCTCCTTCTTGATTTTTGCTTTTATGATATAGTGGCTGTTATTAGGTAGATAAATGCTATCCCATTTTGCTCATAGGCCCTTTTTTCAGGTACAGGACGACACTTTCCATGCCCTGCATATTCAGTTTGTTTCCAAAGCCATAGTGGAAAACACTGACTTTAAATCGTATGCCATTTTCTTGCTACTCAGTCTCCATGTATTCATAATACCTTGTTCAAATTCAGTTTGTGCCCATCCAAAAGGACTCAATTCCTTGTTAGACAATGTCTTTTAATATTAGCATTGCTTCAAAAATTGTCTCTATTTTCCATCATAAATAGAGAAGACCTCATGGGATGCATCCAAAGATGCTGGGAGTTAGCTGACATCATTGCAAAGCCACTGTCTCATCTTTGAAAGGTCGTGGAGATCAGAGGTACTGAATGACTGGAAAAGGGCAAATACGACACCCATCTACAGAAAAGACAAAGTGGAAGATCCAGAAAATATGGACCAGTTAGCATTAATTCAGGCCCTGGGAAAATTGTAGAACAAGTCCTCGTAGAAGCTATTTCAAGGCACACAAAGGACAAGGAAGTGGTTAAGAAAAGATAGCATGGATTTACTACGGATACATCCTGCTTGGCCAACCTGACTGGCTTCCATGATGAAACAACTTGCATAGTTAATAAGGGGAGAGCTCTGGGCATCATATCATCTACCTGATTCTAGCAAGGCATTGTCACAATCTCCCAGAACATCCTTGTTGATAACATATGGTCTGGATCAGTGGACCACAAGATGTGTGGAAAACTGGCCAAACTGTCGGGCTGAAACGGTGATGGTTAATGGCTCAAAGTTGAACTTGGCAGCTGGTCGTGAGTTGAGTTTCTCAAGGTCAATATTGGATCTGATACTACTCAGTAACTGTATAAACAATCTGGGTGACAGGATTGAATGCATTGTCACCAAGTTTGTGGGTAATACCAAACTTGGAGGACAGCAAATAAGCCACAAAGAAGAGCCACTGTTCAGAGACACCTATGCAACAAGAATTGCATGAAGTTTAACAAAAGTAAATGTGAGGTCTTGGACATGAGACAGAAAATGCCAAGAACAATGTAGCCTGAAGTTTGACCATTTGGACTGTAGCTAGCTCTGTTGAAAAGAACCTGGGGTCCTGGTGTACAGCAAGCTAAACTTGAGTCAGCAGTGTACCCTTGCAGCAGTGAAGGCAAACTACATCCTGGCTGCATCAGCAAGAACACAGCCAGCAGATCAAGGGGTGTGATTATCCCACTTTACTTGGCTCTTGTTAGGCCACACCTGGACTACTGTGTCCAGTTTTGGTGCCCCCAGTTCAGGGGAGAGATTGAAAAACTGGAAACAGTCCTGTGAAGAGACATCTCCACCAAGATGATTAGAGGATTAAAGAACTCGACATATGAAGAAAGGTTGAAGGGATTGGGTTTTTTCATTCTAGAGAAAAGGTGGCTCAGGGTGGATCTAATCACAATCTTCCACTATCTAGTAGTTATAGAGAAGATGGAGGTGCTGTCATCACAAGGATGCTCATTGACAGGTGAAGAGGCAACGAGCAGAAGTTGCTTCAGGGGAAAATTGTCTGGCTATAGGGAGCGGGGGCGGAATCTTCACTGTGAGACCAAGTGAACACTGGAATATGTTGCCCAGAGAACTGGTAGAATCTCCCTCGCTGGAAATTTTCAAGATTCTGCTTGACAAGGCTCTGGATAACCCTGGATAAAGCCCTGCTTTCAACAGAAGGTCGGAGCACGTGATCTCTAGAGGTCCCTTTCAACTTAGGCTTCTGTGTGATTGTTTTTTCTCTGGAGTCCAATGTCTTGGTCAGTTCTGATAAAAAGAGCATATTTATGAAATGAATTACTGGGTACCTAGAGTTGGAATAACATAGCCTTGATAAGAGATGGCTCAGGGCAGATCTTATCAATGTGTGTAAATACCTGATAGGAGGAACTTCTTTACTGTGAGTGATTGAACACTGGAACAGATTGCCCAGAGGGGGTGTGGAGTCTCCATCCTCCAAGATACTCAAAACCTGACTGGACAAGGTCGTGAGCAACTTGCTCTAGTTGACCCTGTTTTGAGCAGGGAAGTTGGACCAGATGATCTCCAGAGGTCCCTTCACACCTCAGCGACTCTGTGATTCTGTGAAAAGAATTTTTTTCAAATCTTAAGAAAAATACAAGACTGTATTGCTGTCTACATAAATCAGCTTTTAAATTTAGATGAAGTGCTGTGATCAGTGGATGAAAGGTAAGGTAAATGTGCTGCAGGGTTAAAAAGTGCAGTGATTCAAGTTGTAAAGCTTCTAGTATGAAGCTTCTAATACCTTTAGGTGGATTTATTATTCACTAGACAGAAAACAGAGTTCAGAGATGTGAGTAGTAGAAAGAAAAAAGAAAAAAAAAGGCAGAAAACTGTGCTTCCACCTGAACTGAATTCCTGTTGTTCTAGTGTTTTGTAGCAGGGACATCTTTCAAATGTTTTCAGTGAAGTCACAGTAGAATGCAACTCGGTTCTACTCTGCACTCTCTTTTTAGAGTGCCTAGGCATCTCGAGTATCTTTTTCAGAACTGTTTTTATTAAAGTTGCTGAAGATTTAACTCCATCTTGTTAAATTGCTAGTGTTTTAACTGTAGTTTTTCTCTCTCATAAAAGATCAACAAAACTTCTTTGTGATATAGCCTGTCAATTTCTTGAGGCTTCTACTGTTAATATTTCTTGAGTTCTAGCTGTGCATTTGTATGTGTATGAAGATTATTAAATTTCTGTATTTCTGCCTTTCAGCAAGAGCACTTGTTATAAAGAGGATTATCTTGTGCTATAGTTGTATATTTCAAAAATACAGAGCCATCTGTAAGCTGCATCTTTGCTTTTTTAAACTTTTAAAATTCCTTCTGAAGACAATACGCATACCAGTCTTACTGTTACTATACACCGGGGTTTTTTTCACCTTGGTACCTGCGTGCAGAAAATGTTTTGGGAGAGGCATCCAAATTACACTTAGGTTTGTGATAGCTACAACTGCAGAGATCTTTTTTTATCACCAGCATTGACGTTGCTATTTTATTTCTGTGTATATCTTATATGTGTATAGTATGTGTTTGTGTAATTACAGAGAGTTATTTATCTAAATACAGCATTTCTATCACATGCTTTTTCTCAGATATATTTACTGGGTTGAAATTAACAAATTAGCAAAGTCAGGCTGTCAAATTAGGAAATGCCAGGCAATGAGTTGCTCAAGTAAACTGAATTCTTCCCCTTTGTGGATGTATTTTGTGAATCTTTAGTTAGGCTTCCTCTGGGATACTCTGGTCTCATTTTGCGAACTCTAAGGACAGTAACCGTGGAGTGAAGTAACTGCTATGTTAGTTTGAAGACCCAAAAAATCTTCACTGAGCAGTTCCAGGTTCTTGTTACTGTACAACTAGTCCACCTCTGTACTAAATGTCCTTGTCTGTTCTTTTTGTGTGTGTTCATCACTGCTGTTCGAAGGTGAATAACAAGGCAAATAAGACTTTCTTCCGGTCACTCACTGAATGGGTTGAAGACCAAAGATTAGAACTTAGCTGCCTTATTTTTTCAACTCTAGTCTCTAGGAAAAAAAAAAAATTAAATCTGAGAGCATAAATCCAATTTACTTACTGGGTATGGTTGTTCTGATTGAAGTGTGATTCTGTGAAATAAAAGATAATGACTATTTAGTTAAGGATTTGGGGCATACATCCTCGTTAGATAACTGACTTCAATTAGCATGAGCAAGCGTATAATAAAAAAGAAAAAAAGATCATTTTTTGTCTTGGATACCCTTCAGGAGTTCTTAAAAATGTGTTTGGTTGGAAATGAGAATAGTGATATGTAAGTGGTGTTAATGGAATGCAGACACTTACCTGATTCCTAATTTTAACATGCCTTACAAAATTTATACACAGCTAGTATGCTGGCTAAAACAACCACACAAGGACAGGGGATTTTTTTTTTTTTTTTTAAATGCATTTTATCATAGACAATTAATCTAGGAGAACACAGAAATATCTGGAGAATGGTATTACTGTTTTCAATGCAATTTTAAAGTGTACTATTACCTGACACTATACTTAGAGAGGAGGCAACACCTAATCAATATTTTATGGCCTTGCTAGACATACCCTAACTACACTTTTAGACTGGTTTAGCTCAGAGGATTTTCATCACCACAGAGAGGATTCTTCTGTAAAAGCAATAGCACAAAGACAATATATACTTAAAATTTATCCCATAACAAAGCAGGTTGGCTAGCTGCTATCATATCAGAAGCACAGAGCGTTATTTTAACTTAAATTTCCAATTTGCAAAACTTAATTAGAGAGTATTTCTTTTGTGTGTGCTTAGGGAAGGCATAAAATGGTACATTAGTTGAAGGAAACTCATACTGAGGTAGCTAAAATAATTGACTTACTGCATCTGTTCCTAGAGAACTAATTTACAGGTAAAACTAAATTAACATTTTTTTAAAGAAGTCTTTCCTCTTCCTACTTCATATTCATTTCTCTCTTAAAGCCAGTTTCCAAAATTCTGTAAGCAATCTTGCACTAATCCATATCAGTTCTCATCTCTCATGCCGCTTTCTCTCACACCGGAGGGAAGACTGAGAATCCTGTTCCTTCCTTTGTGCTGAAAGGGATCACCATCTTTTTGTTCTAAAGAAAAGGAAATAAATCATCAGCTGAAATCTGTCACTGGTTTACCAGCCAATTTGTTGAAACATTTCTTTGTCTTATTACCATTCCTATAATGACATTATTACCATACCATAATGACAGATTAAAAATTTCTCTGGAGTTGTCACTATAGTTCTATTTTGATAATGTTGTGTGAGTATTACGTTATTCTTCTATGGAAGTAATTAAGTTCTCAGTAAAGACAATGCACTTCTGACAGTGTGGAGGTAGCGAGAAATTAGTTCATCTTAAATTTATAGCAGTAAAAACAGAGGAAATGCTACAATTTTATACACTAACTGGGTGCTCTTCAAAAAGAATGCATGCTGTCATGTTTGAAATGTAACTGAACTGGCAGAAATTTGTGTACATATTGCCCTGCTGTGCCTGCTGTTCCTTAACTTTCAGCTTCCCAGAACTTCATTTTGGTGAGCTCTTTTTATAATAAAGCATTATTTAGATGGCATAACTGAGTTCTCTGTTGGTTTAAGTTTTTGCAAGTTTAAAAAAAACAAAAAAAACCCCCACCAAAACCCAAAGGTACCCTTAGTTTTTTTGATTGAATATGCTAAAATTAATTTTAGATCTTTTAACATCAGCCTTCAAAGTTATTTTGTGGATTTTTGCTACAGGAGATAGCTGAATAAAGGCCTTCAGTGTCCTATCTCTGCTTCGTGGCATAACTAAAATTTCTCAGGAGAATGAGGGTTATATAATCATATTACATTCCTTTCTTTATCAAAGTTGCTGAGGAAAGTAGAAAGCTACCTATTGTGTTACATGTGGTTAAAAATGGCTATTGCATGCAGAAGACGTTAAGCTTTTATGTATTTCCTAAAAATAGGTGCCTAACCACAGAGAACAGCTCAATTAATGCTTTTGCTTAAGGGAGGAATGATATAATGTGCTTAACCTTTTGTAGACACCAGAAAAATCAATTTTCTGTTAATTTTTCTCCTCTGTGAATTCTCTGATAGGTACTGATAAGAAAGAGCGCTGCAGTCAGTTTAAGTGAGGACATAGTCCTGGGGCTCATAGAATAACTGCTGTTTCTTAACATAGCATAGCAACAGCCAGGTGAGGGTAGGGGCTAGATTTTACCTCCTTTTTTCCTCCTTAGCAGAAGAAAGGACAAATAAGCTGACCATGTTCTCATCTGTTTTGAGGGCATTAAAGATAGCAAAGTACATTTGTTGTAACAGAGCTGATGTTTCAGGTAGAGCTTCATTCACTTTCTTTCATGTGTCCATGAATAATTTGTTATTTGAATCCTGTCAATGGCAGGTGGCAAACTGATCCTATCAGTCTGACATACAGCGCAGAAGAGGATGTTCATTAATATCACAGACTCCACAGTTCAAGCCTGTATTTTGATCTGTTGTCTTGCAGGCAAATATAGCTTGAATGATTCTAGAGGAAAGGTAAAAAAAGGGTCATTTTGGGAAAGGATATTGTGTCAGCACTTGGAACCAGTGTATTTGGAGAAATCTGTCATTTTACAGTGGAATTAATATCACCCGTATGGATTGTTTGTTTAAATTTTTGTCATCTTTCTTTAGACCTCAGGATACCCATGGGCCAGAACTGATACTACCTGCCAGTATTGAATTCAGGGAAAGCTGTGAGTACATTGTGAAGTTATAAAACTAACCTGTTGACATGTTTTTCTATAGTGTAATATTTCAGTCAGTTTGCAAACTTAAGGATAACTTAAGTGAACATTGAAAAGAATAATGACTAAACAGATGATAGCTAATCCACTAATATAATTTATTTTGTTGGGGAGGGTGAACAGGAACTTCAGGTATTGAGGCAGGTTCATGCATCTCTAATTCTAATTGCATTTCAACTCTTTATCTTCAGATACTCAAATTTAACTGTGAAAAATTGTTAATCCCACCTCCTCAACAGTACATTGGATTCATTCTCTTCTATACAGTTCTCCATGCCTTGGATAACAGATTGCATCTTGGTCAAAATCCATTTTATATAAAATCTGATTAGGTTTAAATTTTCATTTAGAATTTAATTTTTTCATATCTTGGTCTCCAGGTTTTTAAGGTCTCAGATCTGGTAGAAAAATATCATACCTGAGATTGTCCAGACTTCAAATATTTGAAACTACATAGATTTGTGAGCAAGCAGAGACAGATTTTTATTAGTATAAAATTCCCTATAATAAGGGAGCTAAGGAATAGAATGGACAAGAGAAAACTTGCATTTTCCTGTTCCCTTGAAGATGCAAATTTTCAGCAAAGAGATAGGAAATAGTACAGAAATGTTTCCTGATGATCAGATTTTCTAGCTTTCTATAGAAGTGTGTTGTTATTGTGCCTAAGTAACTGTAGTACCTAATAAACAATTTAGAGTTCCACTTCCTGTTGGTCGCTCT